TTTTTGATAGTGATTTTAATCACTGTCAGATATCATTTACTTGATCCAACTATGCCACGTCACCACTGTGCCGCGACCCCCCTGTGCTGGGTTTTTTTTTTCTTAAATTTTCATAACTTTTTGAAAAATCAACAAATCAACATAATTTTTTTTTATACTAAAACCTTAGATATTTACCTTTCATTTGATATCATTTTTTTGAAAATCTATCACTTAACCTGCTCATTGGGGAGGATTTAAAATGGCAACTTTTTTACAAAAATTAACTTTTTCAACTTATATATTAAATTAAAGCTTATTTTATGCACTATAAAATGAAAAAAAAAATTTGTCCCGACACTTTTTCTTCTACATTTAAACGGCTGCCGTAGTTAAAAAAACACTATTTTTGTGTTAAAATTTTCGATTTTCGATTTTAAATTTTCAACTTAAAAATGCTATAACTTTTTGAAAAATGTATATATCAGCACAAATTTTTTTTTTCTAAATACATTATAAGTACATCTTTCATTTGACATACTTTTTATTAAAATTGGACAATTTCTCCTTATATAGGGGGCGTTCAAAACTTAAAATATTGTAAAAAACATAAATTTTTTTCAACTGAACTTTTGAAAATGTTCCGGAAATACTGCGTCCTTTAAACATATATCAAATTAAAGCTTATTTTATGTACTACAAAATGAAAAAAAAAAATTTGTCCCGACACTTTTTCTTCTACATTTAAACGGCTGCCGTAGTTAAAAAAACACTATTTTTGTGTTAAAATTTTCGATTTTGGATTTTAAATTTTTAACTTAAAAATGCGATAACTTTTTGAAAAATGTATATATCAGCACAAATTTTTTTTTTCTAAATACATTATAAGTACATCTTTCATTTGACATACTTTTTATTAAAATTGGACAATTTCCTCTTATATAGGGGGCGTTCATAACTTAAAATATTGTAAAAAACATAGATCTTTTTCAACTGAACTTTTGAAAATGTTCCGGAAATACTGCGTCCTTTAAACATATATCAAATCAAAGGTTATGTTATATACTATCAAATGAAAAAAAAAAATTTGTCCCGACATCTTATCTTCTATGTGCAAATGGCTGTCGAAAATTTAAAAAAAAATGTAATGTTTGCGATAAAAATTACATTTTATCGGGATGTTTTTTGTACTTAAAACTGCCATAACTTTTTCAAAAATGAACAAATAAAAATAATATTTTTTTGTATTGAAACCTTAGATATTTCCCTTTCATTTGATATAATTTTTTTTGAAAATCTAACACTTATTCTGCTCACTGGGAGGATTTAAAATAGTAACTTTTTTACAAAAAATAACTTTTTCAACTTAATTTTTGAAAATGTTCCGGAAATACTGCGTCCTTTAAACATATATCAAATCAAAGGTTATGTTATATACTATCAAATGAAAAAAAAAAATTTGTCCCGACATCTTATCTTCTATGTGCAAATGGCTGTCGAAAATTTAAAAAAAAATGTAATGTTTGCGATAAAAATTACCTTTTATCGGGATGTTTTTTGTACTTAAAACTGCCATAACTTTTTCAAAAATGAACAAATAAAAATAATATTTTTTTGTATTGAAACCTTAGATATTTCCCTTTCATTTGATATAATTTTTTTTGAAAATCTAACACTTATTCTGCTCACTGGGGGGATTTAAAATAGTAACTTTTTTACAAAAAATAACTTTTTCAACTTAATTTTTGAAAATGTGTCCGGAAATATTGCGTCCTTTAAACATATCAAATTAAAACTTATTTTATGTACTATCAAAATGAAAAAAAAAAATTTGTCCCGACACTTTTTTTTCTACATTTAAACGGCTGCCGTAGTTAAAAAAACACTATTTTTGTGTTAAAATTTTCGATTTTCGATTTTAAATTTTCAACTTAAAAATGCTATAACTTTTTGAAAAATGTATATATCAGCACAAATTTTTTTTTTCTAAATACATTATAAGTACATCTTTCATTTGACATACTTTTTATTAAAATTGGACAATTTCCCCTTATATAGGGGGCGTTCAAAACTTAAAATATTGTAAAAAACATAGATCTTTTTCAACTGAACTTTTGAAAATGTTCCGGAAATACTGCGTCCTTTAAACATATATCAAATCAAAGGTTATGTTATATACTATCAAATGAAAAAAAAAAATTTGTCCCGACATCTTATCTTCTATGTGCAAATGGCTGTCGAAAATTTAAAAAAAAATGTAATGTTTGCGATAAAAATTACATTTTATCGGGATGTTTTTTGTACTTAAAACTGCCATAACTTTTTCAAAAATGAACAAATAAAAATAATATTTTTTTGTATTGAAACCTTAGATATTTCCCTTTCATTTGATATAATTTTTTTTGAAAATCTAACACTTATTCTGCTCACTGGGAGGATTTAAAATAGTAACTTTTTTACAAAAAATAACTTTTTCAACTTAATTTTTGAAAATGTTCCGGAAATACTGCGTCCTTTAAACATATATAAAATTAAAGCTTATTTTATGTACTACAAAATGAAAAAAAAAAATTTGTCCCGACGATCTATCTTCTATACGCAAATGGCTACCATATTGAAAAATATACTATTTTTGTATGATAATTATGGGTTTTGTATTTTATTTTAATAGAAGTTGATGTTGCTTTTGCAATTATCCATCAATTTTTTAAAATTAAACACTATCTACAGATTTGCATCGAAGCGTTTCTTATGATAGTGATTTTAATCACTGTCAGATTAAATCTATACTGAACCCAACTATGCAATGTCTCCACTATACCGCGACCCCACTGTGCTACCGTTTTTTTATTATAAACTTTCATAAAAATCAACTTTAAAGTATTAAAGAATAGGTTAAATATGTCATTTTCTTATTTTGAACATATTAATTACAAAATCAGTATTAAATTAATACTGATTTTGATAATTAATTTTTTACAATTATTTTTTGTTCTTCATTATTATTTTTTTTTTTTATGTAAATACTTATTTTTTAATAATAAGAAATAATATTAATACTTAGAAGTGATAGAAAAAGTCTAATTGCACATTTTAAAACACCGCGAAAATTAGATTTAGATAAATATATTTTTGTTTCTGATGAAAGTGCCTTGAAGTCCAGTGTATAAAACTTAGAACTTTGTTATAAGTAACAAACATTTTTTATTTAAAAGTATTGCATCAAGCCTTTTAAATTTTTTTACGCGTTAAAAGTAAAGAAATATACTACTACTTTACTTTTTTTATAATATCTCTGTAAAAATTACAATATTAAATTATTGAATATCAATTTCATACTAAATTTAATTACTATAATTGTTATTTATTCATATATAATAACTATAAATCAAATCGGGATAAAATTAAGGGAATAATAGTTATTGTTGTTTTTGAAATAATCTACCGTTTTTTTTAAATGAAATACTACCTACAGATTTGCATCAATGTGTTTTTTATGAGAGTGATTTTAATCACTGTCAAATATCATCAAAACTTGTCCCAACTATCCCACGTCCATACTGTGCAGCGACCCCACGGTGCAACCGTTTTTTTTTTTATTTATTGACTATATGATTCACATGAGAACTAAAAGTGAGAACAATATGAGAACCATATTGAATCAAAAAAATGATTAATCAATTTCTAGTTTATTATTCATTAGAATAAACATTTTATATTACAAATTAAATACAAGATAACATGTTCACATCACAAATATGATTTAAGGGCTTCATACGTGTTTATAGGTTAATCCTTCTCTTACCATACCATCTCCTAGTTTATTACCCTAAACACTGTATTGAAAATAAAGGATTTTGGTACTTTTATATTCTATAATATTATTTAAATACACTCTAATATGTTGTATTGTGTTATAATTTAATGATTTTGTCTTATTAATCGCGTAATAAACAAATTTTAATTAAATCTTGGTAAATTAACTTTATTTAAAAAAATAATATTTAACATTTATTATAAATTCTAATTTACAAAAATAAAAATTAATAAGTTAGCTTAATATATCACAAAATTCTTCACAAAATAAGTTAAAGAAATTCATACATCTGAAAAAAAAAGTGTATATATTATATTTGGTAAAACTATAAATACTTAAAAAAATAAAATTGTGCCTAACAAAAATTAGGAACTTTTTGATAAAAACAGATAGACATTTATAATAAATAATTTCATTTTTTAGTTTATACATATATTTTAGAATTTTAATAAGTTAATTAATTTCAATAAAATTAAAAAAAATTCATAATAAGGATGTCTTTATCTTAGATATTTAAAAATAAAATATAAATTAATTTAATTTAAAATTTTTATGATTTTAGAATAAAAATAATCATATCAAGAAATTTATTTATTTTATTTTATCCTTCCAATTTTAAATTATTTAAAAATTCACAAACCATATCATCATTATCATCATCAAAAACAATTTCTTCTAAATCTTCAAATATAATAACTTTAGTGAAATCATTTGCCATTTCTTGTGATACAGTACAATTCTCTACTTCAATGTTTGTAATTAATCCAATACCTCCTGTAAATTAATAAAATAAATATTACTTGGGAAAAAACATGGTTGAAATTATTAAAGATTTAATTCTGAATGTGATAACAGAAAGGCTTTGAATTTAATATTCAATACCAGGTATCACCTAAATATAAACTAATATTTATGGTACAAAATACTATACATAAAATTAATACCCAAACTATAAAAGGGCGAGAATCAATTATCATAATAATTGATTAAATTATTAAATATGTAATACATCAAATAAATTCTAATGTTTATGGTTATAAGCTCGATGAACGTAATATTTTTCCTGTAATTAATGAATAAAAACATTATATTTATTCAAAAAAAGGAAGGCATAAATTACTTTACGGTCCATGTGATTTTAAATTCAGAAGGTTTTAACTTGGATATACCCTTTTAATATAAATGTGAATTGAACAATATGATTACATTTTTTTTATAGTGTTTCATCACAATTTATTTTTGCTTTCTAATTCTAATACATTTATGAAAAGATTGGCTTATAAAATGGTAATTTCATTATTATAAATTATATATTTTATACAATTAAAATTTCAAAAACTCACTTTCAATAAATTGTGGCCACATTTCTTGTTTACCCGTCAAAAGAATTGAATCTTTTACATGGTACATCCAATTGTTGTAAGAATTGACATCCTTATTGTAAACATAAAATTGTCTTAGAGTTTTTAAAGTGGATATAGGTTTCTCTAATTCTTCCAAGTTATTACTAGTTTCTATGAGATTTATAGTTAATTTTTTCATTTTTTCGCATACTGAAATAAAATTTAAATGATACCAGTATCAAGGGAAAATTGTTTTATCATAAAATACTAAATTACTTGCAAAATAAATACAATATTGAAAAGAAAATGTTTAGTTTTTAGTTATATATATTTCTTGATTTATTAGCTACTAATAACTTTTTCAAAACTTACCTTATAATTTATAAGGGTGTTAACTTTACTTTTTTTAAATTTCAACATACATATTTAACTAGTTTATAAAATTTTAAATAATCTAATTAAGAAAATTATTTGCTGAAAACAACTTTTAAAACAGAACTTTGGAAGTTATTCATATCTTTACACCAAGGCAGGACAAAGAGTACAGCAAGGGAAAAACGATTGATAAAAACAACAAAACCTGCATCTCGCCTCTAGTCAATAGGTAGTTATAGATAAACTTAAAGTTATTTATAAAGACCATTTTAAAAAATAGTTAACTTTATTTTTGTTTTTTTTTTAAATATGAATAACACAATTTTATTTTTAAAAAACTGATACTTAAAAATGACTTACAATTAAAACTGTAACTATCACTTACTATGAAAGTGTACAACTAATTAACTATTTAGTATAAATGATCCAAAATATATAACATTATCATTTCAAATTTATGAAATTTATAAGTGAATAGAATATATGTTGTTTTTTGTTTAATTAATAATAATATAAAATACATTACCTATTCCAGAATCAAAGCCTTCTTCCAAAAGTTTGTTGAAATCATCAACTGGACTTAACTCAGTTATTACACATGGTTTACTTATATTATCATAAGTTTTATTGTTTTTAGCACCAACTACATTTAAGTAGTCTTTAATTTCATTTCTAAAAAATTAATGATGACAAAATCAAAAATCACACTTAGTCTCATAAAAAAAGGTAAGAATTTTATAATAATTACATTTGTTCAACATTTGAAACAAGTTTAAAGCAATTTTTGATCTCATTTAAGAATTGATAAGAATGTTCGGTAATTTCTGAAGGAGGAAACAATTGTTGTTTGATATTTTCAGGAATTTCACTTGCCAAAGTTTCATGTGGATTAAGAGCCTTCTTTGCTATTAAATAATTCAAAAGCTGGTGTTGAGGACTATGTGTATATTCAGGAACAAAATATTCATTACTAAAAATTATTATTATAATTAACAAAAAAAAATGATTATTTCAATGGAAGTTATATTATAAATGTAATAGTTTGTAACATAAATATTAAATAGTAATAAATTCAATTTCAATCATTCAACACAACTTAATTTTTATTTTTGTTAATAGATGGGTATACAATTTTATATAAAAAAAAAACCCAGCAAAGGGGGGTCGCGGCATAGTTGGATCAAGTATAATGATATCTGACAGTGATTAAAATCACTATCAAAAATAAACGCTTCGATGCAAATCTTTAGATAGTGTTTAATTTAAAAAAAATTGGTGTTTTATTCCAAAAGCTACTTGATCTGCTGGTTCCTTATTAATATCTCGATTAAGATAAAGTATGTCGAATGAAAAAGGGTTTATTAAAAAATATTATTTCTCATAAAAAAATTGTGTGGATCCATAAACTTTTCAATAAGTTATAGCATTATAAAGTTAAATATAATATAAATAATAAAATCGAGAATTTTCACACGAAAATAGCATTCGGTAGCCATTTTCGCCGTGAAGACAAGTCCAGAGGTCAAATTTTTTTTTTTCAAATTAAAGTATATTACATTAGCTTTAATTTAAGATATATATAAAAGTGTCAGACCTTCCGGAACATTTTCAAAAGTTAAGTTGAAAAAGTTAATTTTTTGTGAAAAAGTTGTCATTTTAAATTCCCCCTGTGGGCAGAAAAAAGGTCAAATTTACAAAAAAAAATACCAAATGATAGGTAAAGACATCAAGCATCTATAAAAAAAAAATGATATTCATATGTTCATTTTTGAAAAAGTTATGACAGTTTTTAGTAAAAATAATTGAAAAAATTTCGTTAATTAGCGATTTTTAAATTTGTAATTTTTTTGGAGGTTTCCCCCATTTACGGGGAACGAGGGAAATTTTTTCAATTTTGAAGGGTAATGTCTTCGACTAGATACAATTTGTGATCTTTTGACGTATCGTTGAAAGAAATCCGTTCGGTGAGAGCTGAGAAAAAGTGGTAACAGACACAAAAAAAAAAAAA